ATTTATACTATGAGCTGCTAGGGTTTCACCCTAAACCCTAATTGGATAACTTAGCCTCAAAGCAATCCAAAGATCCTTCTAGATGATAACCTTATCAAGTTGCTATTAAATTGGTAATAATTGATTATTTGAATTAAATTGGTAAATTGTCTTGCAAGTAATATTGACTAGGTCAAATTTAGATACTAATTGATTATTTGAATTAAATTGGTAAATTATCTTGCAAGTAATAATTTCCTTATATGATAATAATTGATTATTTGAATTAAATTGGTAAATTGTCTTGCAAGTAATATTGACTAAGTCAAATTTAGATAATCATTAAATTAATTGTTTTATTTAAATTATTTGCTATTTGATCCTTTGTGTTTTGAAACGTTTCAAAACTTGCCCTCAAGTTTTGGAATTTAAATTTTAATTTAAAAGTTTAATTTTAAAAGGTGTTAAATTCTAAAACCCTAAGTTTTGAAAAAGTTCAAATTGCACCCTTATGGTTTTATTAAATTAATTAAGTGTATAATTAAAAGATAGTTAATAAATCCATAGTGATATGGTTTACATTTAATTAAATTAAAATATAATTTATTAAATTAAATCACCTAGTATTTTAAAAGTGTAAAATACACCCTTATACTCTATATAACATTAAAAGTCTAATATTATATATGTATAACTTAAACTGCTAGTCTTACCGTTAGTAGGCCTCATTCACGAAGCTGGTTTATAAGGGGTGTTTAAGGAAATTGCCTATAACATGGCTATTGAATGGGTATCCACTCTTACTCACCGCACTCTTGACTAGTGGAGGGTCGGTAGCCGAACGGGTAGGATATGGCAAACACTTTCCATTAAAAGTATAATCAAGTATAAATTAACTAAATGTTTATACAAAATTCCCAATATTAGTTACTTTAGGCAAAAGTGAATTGATGCAATTCCATGAAATTACACTTTGTGCCCTTGCAAAGATGTTAGTGGAGAGTGTGTGGTTAACTGGCACACTAAATGGTTCTAAGCAAAGGTAGTAAAGGGTGACTTAATGTTTGTCATAGTTCGGTGGAGCGTGTGTGGTTAACCGGCACATCGAATAGGTGACTATAACATTGGGGGCACCATGTAAGTTTGCATGGTTATTCACACCCTGTTTGTGATCTTCGGCATCCCAGTCACAAATCGAAAAGTTCAATGAATCTCAAAGGATCTAGGAGTTTTTCAATACATTTAAAACTTAATCTCCTTTTCGTTTTTCATGGTGGAAAATTAGTAAATCGTCATTCACTTACCTTCAAATGTTCTGCAATTTGGGTTACGACATCCCTCTCCCAAGTTGTAGAGGGTTGTGTTGGGTCCTAGCCTTAATATCTCATTTGGGTGATTTGTTGAGGACTCAATTAATCAACTAACTTGAATTTTCTCCCGTTTTTTAGATGTCAAAGTATGACAACTATGGTCTTCCCAAATCCCGTGGAACAAGCTTTCCACATGAAAATGATATTCCACGATTCGATCAAGGAACACGAGATCATGCTTCACTTCCTCCACCTCCTCCTATTGTTCTCCCTAACCCACAAGTTCAAAGGCTTGAAAAGTTCAAAGTCACTCAAGCCCTTTTGGCAAGTAAACATGAAGAAGGAAAGTCAGTGTGTGCTCACATCCTATAGATGAAGTCATACATTGATATGTTAAGAATGTTGGGATCCATTGTCTGTGAGGAGCTGGCTGTTGACTGGGTTCTTCAGTCGCTTCCTGACTTATATAGTGAGTTCGTAAGAGAGTACTATATGATGAACCATGACGTGACCCTCATCGATCTCACCTATATGCTTGTTGCTGCTGAATCAGCAATGATTTGGCGCACTGGAAAAGCAAGGTTGATTGGTGGATCTGCCTTCCAGACCTCTATGGATATAGAAAATGGCAACAAAATGCATGTCATGGTCGAAAAGTTTGATCATAAGAGAAAGGAAAAGTCTAAAGTAGTTCCGTGTGCTGTTCCAAAAGAGTCAATTTGCTTTTATTGCCAAGAGAAGGGGTATTGGAGATGAAGCTGCCCAGTGTACCTGAGAGATCTAAGAGATGGGAGAGTCAAGACGTTTGGCTCTACTTCAGGTAAAATCCACTATCTAACTCCATTAAGTTCCTATTCATTGATTCGTAATACATAATGTGATAAGATTACATTTGAATGTTTTGCAGGATCAATGAAAAGAGAGGAAGCTTGATGGAAGAGCAAGATGAGTCTGATCACGAAGAAATGGATCACGATCGCATGGATTCAAAGATCAGATTTTGAGCTTAGAAAGTTATTATAGAGTTGTTAGGAATATTTGATTACATAGTTTTTCAGTTGATTTTACGTCAAGTTGTAGAAGCATACACATACCATCAATAGGTAACATTTACATTTCATTAAACATTGTTGCCTTTCTATATTAATTGAATGTATGAGGAAAAATATGTCTTTTTTTTTTTTTTTTTTTTTTTTTTTTTTTTTTTTAAATTTATGCATTTTACATATTGGTTTTCATATAGATTTAATGAAATGGTAAAAATCCTCTTGAACCTATTAAATTCTAGGGATTGGACTTTTTTTTTTCTTTTACAACAATGTACTTTCAGACTTTTTTTTTTTATTGAGGCGTTATAGTCTGAAAATTCTATCAAATTATAGCATTGTTCTTAAGATGTTTTCCTTATAAGGGCATTGTACTTTAATGATGTGTGGTGTAAACGTATGTACTTTACCTTATCATGGTGTGACGTCTTCCCTTGGTTTATTTAACTTCTACTAAAAATATTTTCTAGGGTCTTTACTTCTAATCCTAAGGATCCACATTATAAAGTATATATCCACATTAGAAAGTATGCATCATTATTAAACAATATTGTCTTATTTTGCATAGCTCACTTAAAAATATCACCTAATTTGTCTTAATATGTGTAATGATTATTGCCCTACATTTTAGTCATTCTCAAAGAAAGTTCTACACTTGGAAATTATAAAGTTGGAACTTGATGATTATTGTCTACATCTATAAACAAGTTTTTAAAAACTTATAAACAATTTTTATAAAGAATTTTTTTGACATTTATAAACAATTTTTATAATTTTATTTTTTTATAGCATCTTTTATTTATTAATAGTAAAACATATTTTAATCTTAACTTTCATTTCTATTTTATTTTATTGTGCTTATGTATGTTTCTTACAATAACCTAATTTTAATTTTATCATATAACAATTGCATTTTCATGATTAACGTTCAATTTTATATTTCATTATATATTTTTATTAATCTATATGTAAATAACATTGTTCATATTTTTAAACCTTTTTATATATTAATTTAAATCAATAATTATAAACTTACCCGCTAATCACCTAACTTTGTAAGTTAATAACTGGTTGAAAATACTTTATTGATGGTTATGGTTTGATGTATCAATATTTTTTATTTTGCTAACTATGATTTCTCACGGGTTATAATATATATATATATATATATATATCAATGTTGTAATAATCATTCGACTGTAGCTTAATGGTCGACTGATGTTAGGGGATTAATCGGTATTGGCGGGGATTCATCGTGGATTAATCGGGGACCATAAATTATTAATAAAATATTAAAATTAATCAAATATTAATATATCTTAAAAAAACAAGTACTTCAAAATTAGAAAATAAGAAATTTTATAATTTGAAATTTTAAAAATACAAATATTTTGGTATAATATTTGAAAATTTTTGAGTAAAAAAAGTTGATTTTTTGAATTTTAGTTTTAAATTTTTAAAATTTTGACTTTTTTGATATTTTTGACTTTTGTTGACCGATTAATTACACCAAGACCGATTAATCTTAAATTTCCGATTAATACTTTAATCCTTGACGGATGGAGAACGTCAAGCGATTAATCCCGATTTCTGCAACCATGATATATATATATATATATATATATATATATATATATATATTATATATATATATATATATATATATATATATATATATATATATATAAACAAAATTGTATATTTAAATTGTTAGTTTTGTTTAGTGTTTACAATTTTAAGCTCGTTATATAAGTTATTTTGTCATGTTATTCAATAGTTATTACCACCTTAAAATATAAAATTAAAACATTGCTTCAATGGAATTATTTTGTAAACAAAAAGCACTGTGTAACTAATTTTTTTACTAAACGTCAAAATTAATCTATATATTTTTTATTTTAAAATCTTACAATAGAAAATTAGAAGAAGTCGGTATATATTATTACCAATTTGTACTAACCAAACTTGTTGATAGCCTAATATACTAGTAACAAGTATTTCTGGTACGATACCGATAGAAATTTTTTATACCAATTATACTTAGTAGCGTATACGGTTTAAGGAAAAACAAATTGTACCAATTACACCTCTACTTTTGCATCTACAAATACAATCTCTCTCTTAAAGGGTGTTTGAGATTACTTTTCAAAATAACTTTTTGGATTATTGTTTTTTTCAAAAAGTTAAGTCTAGAAAGATGTTTGACAATTTTAAAAGTTTTTTTTACTTTTTTCCAAGAAGAAAAATGAGTTGTTGTAAAAGGTAAGAACTTATTGGTGATTTCTGATTTTTTGACCTTTGTCTCCTTCAAAGTTATTCAAACACATTAAAAAAAAATTGAAGAAAAACTATAAGTAAAAAATTCCATTAAGTTTAACTTTGAGTAAAATGCACGAATGATCCTTATGGTTTGCGGTAATTTATGCGCTTAGTTCTTAACTTATCTTTTTAACTCGGAAGGTACCTACTGTTTGTTTTTGTTACGCGTTTGATCATTACTATTTTTTTGTTACACGTTTGATCCCTATTTTAGCTAACAAGACTATTATTTAAATAGAAAAAAATGATAAGATATGTAAGGTAAGGTGATGAGGTAGGATTGTGGGTGTTTAAATAAATGAAAAATATCAAGGGAAAATAGTCTTTTTAGGTTACAGGGACCAAAGGCGTATCAAAACAAGCAATAGAAACCTTCCGAGTTAAAAAATAAATTAGGGACCAAATATGAAAATTACTCTAAACTATAGGGACTATTCGTGTAATTTACTCTTTTAACTTTTTAGATCAAAAAGTAATCCAAACACCGCCTGACCCTCTTTCTAGATCGGAAAACGTTTATTGTATGGCCGCCAATTCACAAAGCCGGGGAATCGCGAGTTTGGGGAAGCGATTTGTCAGCTAGATCCGAAGCTCATCTGCTCGTGATTCGTCACTGAATCTCAGGTATTCTAGACTAACACCCCCTAGAATTCAAAATATTCTCACATTGTTGGTTAGTTGAGACGGAGGAAGATATGTATTCGTTTAATCATTAATGTTAGGCATCGGATACACACATATCATAAAATATATACGCAACAAAAAATCTCTGAAATTAATTCTTCTGGATCGCGTATGTGGATTTTGCTGAATTAAACCTAAACATTATTGTTGAAGTCTTCATTAAATTTCTCATTTCCCCCTTTTTTCAGTTTCAACATTTGATCCACAAGATCTAAGGCGGTGGTTCTGGCTTCTCAGCTATCAGTTCTTCATTAAATTTCTCATTTGGTTTCGTTTATAATCCGGACCGCACTTTTAAATTCCGATATGCCGATCTCGTTTAGCAGACTGGGAAGCTCGCTTCCGTTCTCCAGATTCTTTAGGTACTTCGTCTCTCCAACGTGTATGTTTTACTCTGTGTCCATCAATTTTCTGTTTTCTTGAATTACCGTTTCTTTATTGCTGTAAATTGGCGAGGTGTTAATAACTTTGCACACGTTAATTTGGAGGTTATCGATCAATCTACTGCTTGGGGGATTACGTTCATATTATGTTTTTCAAAGTAGTTTATTAGGGTTTGTTTTCATTTCAATATGCAAAAGCTAATCGGATGCAGTTTTAATGAAACAGATAAGAACAGTTATGTATGATTAAATTTGATTGCTGATGTGTGATGTGGTTTTGAACTCTATTATCATAGGCAGGTTGAGCATGAGATGGAGACTGTGGTCAAAGTACTCCAACCTGGACCTTTAGGAATTATAGAGCACAAGTTTTCTGCTGAGGAGATTGCAAAAGCCAATTCTACTGTTAAAAAAGCAGTAGAGAATTGGAAGAGGAATGCAATCATAGAAAGAAATAGGCCTCTTTTGAAAGATTATATCAATTAAAGACATATCATTTGTTCATATTTTCTGATGCAAAGAATACTTGTGGGTAACAGTAAGCTCTCATCATCCTTCATTCTGCCTGTAGATGATTCTTGCTACTAATTATCAGATTATTATGCTTTCTAGTCACTGTTGTTCATTGTTTATACTGATTGATTGAAAGATTATGTAAGGCCTGAAATGAAATTGACATGGATACATTTTTGAATGATCTTAATACATATATCAATTAGGAAAACAGTAGAGAGATTTTATAGGCTAACATCTGCCAAAACACCCCTCAATATATAGCAATTACCTTTACCTTTTCAGTAGCTGGGTTAGTTCCCCCTTGAGATGGAGTGACATGATATTCGAACCACCTAACAGTTGTTGGCCTATAAACACAACTGGTACACTTGGCTTACATCCTAATGCTTTCAGCTCATCCTCCAGTTGCTGCCCATTAGGATGTTCATCTAGCTCATAAACCACAGGATTTGACCCAAAGCTATTAATCAAAGTCTTAATGCTGTGACACATACAACAAGAAGTTTTACTGAATATAACCACTGGCTTTTCAGCAACCACCCTTGTAACCATGGCCATTATCTTCAAGAAAACTCTTGACACAAGCCTTAATGACAAGTCACAACTTTATATAAAGATTTTTTAAAAAAATGTTTGTTACATCGAATTTGATGAACATGATAGAAAGAATATGGTTCGGTTGGTTAATGATTATTCTTGGCTTTGTTAAGATGTGATGCTTTTCTTTTTGTAAAGTTGTGAAAATGTGGAGGATTGTATATTGGCACACAAGAGGGAATGAGGGGCTGCTTCTTTTTCTCCATATAGTCATGTATGGGTAGTAAATTTAGTGAATGAGTAACTACCGATATCTTTATGGACAGAATAAACCATCTAATGAGACTTAATCATCATTTACTATACATTCCAATCCATAAAACAAATTCTACAACATTCATCAATATCAACAATATTAATAAATTTTAACACGAGTTGAGAGGAAAAAATAGAAATACGTAAAGGGTTAGTGTCTTAATAAACTAAGGCAAACCTTGTTTTTTTGGCTTTGGTGAGTTTTGAAAAGTTAGCTTCTATTTTATAAGTAATTTTTGTGGTCTTACCTAACACTAAATTACAATACACTAAAAAGAAGAAGCTAATTTATGCATTCCAAACACAGGTTGTGTTTGGTGCGTCATAACTATCTAATAAGTTAGTTTTTTTTTTTTTTTTTTTTTTTTTTTTTTTTTTTTTTTATATAGAATCATGTTGGTTAAAAAGTATATAAATTAGTTTATTTTTAAACAATTTAAACTAGTTTTTTAAGAACTTTTTTAAAATTTCTTAAATATACTTTTAATTAATTACAAAAACATAATTTTTTTTAAATGTTTTTTATATCATTTTATATATTTCAACCAGTTTTATTAAACTTTATGTTTATCAGTTGGTTTATAGGCTACTAACTAGCTTTTCAGCTAGTACCCTAAACATAAGTCATTTAGTTTAGGTTCAATAAAAAAATAACCATATATAATTATCCACTTTAATTGTTTAACCCATTAAAACCATTAATTAAAAAAAGAAGCAGCCATACAAAGATAATTAATTTCACAACCTTATCCTTTAAGTTTATTTAGTATGGAGATGATGCCAAAAAAACCTGAAGAGATTGTCGCATCAACAACTTCACTCCACCACCACTTAGGAGGGGTGGTGTTGTCTTCCATGATGAGAAAGAGGGAGGGAGAGGTGGTGTTGCCACACCAGCCTCATGCCCTTGGCGTGATGGCCATACTCGATGGTTTTGGAGCCTTTTCATATATTCCCTATTTCTAGTCACTTCATGATCATCAATGACATACCTAATTTTTTTTCATACATGTACATAAATTAAAAATTATTGATACATGATGACATGTAAATGTTTAGGTTAGTGATGAATCCCTTTTTGGCATCTTGAAAGGTGGAGATAATGTAGCCTTTTATGTTCCCCATATCAAGATTCCTAACCTTTTAGTTTAGGAAACCCAAAATAAAAGAAAATGGAAGTTTGGAATACAGAGATGCTTATTTCAGCATCATAGCTAAATTATATATGCATAAATTGATTCTTGTTGTTTAAAGCATCAGATGGGTAGATGGGTGGTAATCAGTTCGGATAAGATTAGAAGTATATTTTGATTAGTTTAATTATCTGAAAGACATCCATATGTTTGCAGCGAGTCGAAGATATCTTCCAAACTTCATACTATTTAAAATAAACAAGCATTAAAAAGTATTTTAAATATCTTTACATCCATTGTAGATTTGCCCAAGGAAGATAATGTAGATAAAGAACATGTTTGTATAACTTGGATACAAAAAAGTGATGATTTTGTTAAGCTTTTGTTGACTTCCTTTACAATTATGTTCTCTTGTTTATATTTTATAGTTACTTTTCATCTTCTAGAGTTTGAGTCGTGCATGCATAGGTTTGTTAAAAATCCTTCAAATGCCAATTTTTTTTTAATTTTTTTATTTTTATTTTTTTTTATCATATTCGAGTTTCTTCCAAAACATTATACATTCATCTTGATTGTTACTTATCTAGAAGACTCATTGGCTCATAACAATTGGCCAATGCATCCTTATAAACGAGGCATCATAACTTTACTGCGATTCTTGAACATTATTCGTCGTCTACTCATCCATAGATTCTACTTGATAACAACTGAATAACTACAGTTTACATTATTAAATGTCAGCAAGCGGAACACGTTTCCAAAATTTCCCCCTTTGACAATTGACATAGTATTTCTCCACTAAATTGAAGAATATATGCTCCTCCTATGTCGACTTGTTTATAATATAAATCATTGTTTTCAAGCAGATCTTCAAACCATGCTTTTCCAAAATTAAAATATCCAAAACAAAAAACTTATATTTTTTACAAGTTTTCAATGGGTTTAGATTCTCCCTTTTACCCTTAGTGTAGCCTATATAAGATGCAAACAAACTTCAAATTTAAACAAGTTAGCAATCTTACCTTGATTGATAGTTTTTAGCAATCATAAATGGATAGGGTGAAGGATTTGGCGTCCAAGAATGCTGCAGTTATTTTCACGAAAAGCTCGTGTTGTATGTGTCATAGTATCAAAGCGTTGTTTTATGATCTTGGTGCAAGTCCTGCGATTCATGAAGTTGATCATGATACCAATATGGAGTGGGCCCTACGGCGGCTTGGTTGTAATCCGGCCATCCCTGCAGTGTTTGTAGGTGGTAAATATATAGGTTCGGCAAGAGATGTTATTTCTCTTCATGTTGACGGGTCCTTGAAACAAAAGCTCATTGAAGCACGAGCTATATGGTTCTAGCACATGTATAACATGTGTGCTCAATAATTGCTTTTACTAGGTTTAATGTTTTGTTAGAATACTGAAGACGATGTCTAGGAGCCGTTCTTTTTTGTCGGCTTCGTTGACAATATTGTATTGGAGTCAAACTCCAAATGAGTTTATTTTCGTTTTTGGTTTTCTATATATATAATATTGGTTGTCTTATGACCTTGTGCATTACTATTATCTTTTTTGAATTCGAAGACAAGTGTTGTGATGCATCCAACTTATTCTAATCGATAAAATTAGTGCGAATTTAAGCATTTTGGAATGGAAAAAACTACATTTTTGTCACTTGTTAGATTTTATGAGTGTATATGGTTCTAGGATGATAGGGATTCACGTGGAGGATTATTACATACTAGGCTTGATATGCTCAAGGCATGTGGTGTTGGTCGTGAGTCTCCCGGCCAATGATGGATCGATGGTAAGATCAATGTGTTTTGTGATTTTAGCGTTCTAGTGGATTAGATGTTATAACTGTGTATCATGAACCAGTGAGTGTATGACTCATGTGGGTGGGACCTGGTAGTCATATGATTGAGACTTTTTTGTTTCAAATCATTAGTATTTGTCATGGTTGGGTATTGGTCTTGAAACTTCAGACTTGAAGTTCGATGCAAATGTCTTGAAGGATTTATAGGTGCTTGTAGAACTGGGATGGAGCAAGATTCTTGGATTAACCACTATTACGCTAGTGGGAGTAATAGGGTAATGATGACTTTGCAGAAAGTGAATTGCGTACATGAAGTCTTTTTGTACAGGAATTCTATATTGAAATTTGTTGGAATCCACGATGAAGATGCTCGGATAATTCATTCTACATGTTTCGGCAGTGATCCTAGTCGGGTACTAAGGGTGAGTATGACAAGGGTATGATTCTCGGTTTTAGTACATGGTTTTTATAGTTAGATTAATGGGTGTATGGGCAACAAAGTATATCGTTGGAGCCATGATGAAGGTCAGGCTCGGATAGCCTTTGTTAGTTAGACTCTTGGTTAGAGTCTCGTGGGTAACCGTGTGTGAGAGGGACATCTTCAACAATCAGTCATGGTTTCTGCATTTCAATCTTTTAGTAGGTCATCCTGCAACTAGGAAGATCTCAGTTAGATCGGGTCTACGAATTTTTGGTTAGTGGAATGTGATGTATATGTTGATTCAGCATCAGTGGTTGAGACCCATGTTGGGAGTCACCTTCGTATTCGAGTGCAAGGTTGCTGGCATCGCCGAATGGTCGGGGATCCTATTCTAGTGAGATAATGCAGGGTCTGAGGGGCTTTGGTCGGTTGGGTTATCGATTAGAGTCAGTTTGGTTGTGGTTTGAGTGATTTTGTTTGTCTGGAAGTCGGGCATGGTATAAGGTTATAAGATACAAACAAAGTAGTAGAACTTTCTCTTTGTTGGTTAAAGGGGCGGTGTGTTAAGATTCGTTCTTCACCAGGGTATGCGGTTTTCGCTAAGATTGGGTTTTAGTAGTTGTATCGGAAGGTGGTCGTCTGTGTGAGATGATTTCTTATGTAACAACTAGAACCCTAAGGTACTAAATTCTTTCAATTTTGCATTGTGAGGGTCCTCACGACATAATTTGTTTTAGGGGGGAGGGGTTCACATCATGAGTGACCATTGACCCGTATTTTAGAGTCTTATGATGTGATGCATAAGTTGTCACGACGTGAGCGTGGCTTAATGACCACAAACCCAAGTTTTAGGCTATTTAAGGGAATGAGAGGCTAAGGTTAACAATCCTCAGTCTCTCTCACCCTCTAAGCCTTTGGAAACCCTAGTTTTTACGTCATCTTGAGTTATTGAATATTTTGCTTGTCGAAAGGAAGGAAAGGAGAGAAGAAGTATATTGGGAAAGAAGTTGCATAGGATCATCATCATCATCAGCTTTCATCTTGTTTGAACCATTGTAGGTATCAAGACTCAAGCTTTATTGCATTGCATGGCTAGATCTAGGCTTTTGGTTCATTTTCTTATGTTTTGACTTGGTTAGAGTGGAGTAAATCCATAATATTAGAAACTTTATGGATTCAAATGGTCCTTTGAGTCTTATATCATTTAGATCTGCGATTTGGTGGAGTCTTAGAGCTTGCAAGAGGACTTGCAACCATATTTGTGATGGGTTTTAGGTAAAACAAATAAACTAGAAAACAATTCCTAAGTTCACATGCAACCTACTTTGGATCTATGTTTTATCTATTGAACATACAACTTTGAATTGCAAAACAAGAACCTTAGAGGAGAGAGGCTATAATCGAAATCTACAAACTAGGGTTTAGTAATTACATACCTTTCAATTGTTATAGTAAACAATTGATGATTCCCTTGATCTTGATCTTCTTGGAAGCTTAGCACCACAAGTGTAATGCCTCTAATGGAATCACACCCAAACTAGCAAGAAGGAAATTAGAGGAGAGAGGGAAGAGGGAGTATGCAAAATTTCGGCCCTTAGGGTTTCTTCCAAAGAAAACAGTGACCAAAACATGAACCAGGAGGCTCCTTATATAGCTGAGGGATCTAGGGTTTAGGAAAACCCTAGTTATCCTTTGCTTAGGGCCTAAGCAAACCCAAGGGCCTTATCCAAGCCCCTATGGACGAAATTATTAGGGTTTCCCCTAAAGATTTCGTCCACCCTTATCCAAGGGGGTTCTAGAGCCTTCCACTCAACTATTAGATAATTGCAAACTAGTCCCTGCACCTTATAATTAATTCTTTTAACCCCGAAATTAATTCTAATTAATTTCTGGCTAACAACTAATTAAACCAAATGATTTCTTATTAATATATTAATCTTTTAACATATTAATTCATTTATATTAATTTATTAATCTTATAATAAATTAATATCTCTCCTTTCATAATTTCCTTGTCCGGTTGCTAGGTTTGAGGGCAACCCAAAAGGACTGTGCTGCTATCAATTCAAGTACATACCAATTATAGTTATGGGCTTAGACACCTAATCCAACAGTCTCCCACTTGGATAAGTCTATAACTATAATTGCTAGTATGCCTTCTAAATTTGACCAGCAAATTGTAGCTTCCAAAAAGCTGCTGCCGAACTCTGACCCAGTCAGTTACGTGTCCTAAGATAAGTGATCATATAATCCTTCGTTCTGCTAGATATCCCTAGACAAAAGACATGGAATGCAATCAACCTCTTTGTCCAGAATCTATGTTTCCCGATTCCTGATTAGTGATGATGTAGGACTTCTAATTGAACACATCAATTTAGTCCTGGCTGGGCCCAGCACATAAGTCAACACCAAATCATCGAGGGGCCCACAGATATCGCTTTTTCCCATTAAGGAAAAAGGAACGAATAAACATTGACTCATATGCTTGTATCTTTTACTCATCAAATCATACATGATAATACGTTTTATAACACCAAGTTACTGATGCGTTTTCGTATTACCAATGCATAACCGACTTGCAAATTACA